TAACAACAAGCAGTTTGTCATTCAGGCATAATTGACTTCAATCACTACTACGTTTTATCGTTTTCTTCCAAATCTGATACAAATGACACTGTTCACCACACATCGTCTCTTCTATTTGTCAGTGCTTGGATTGATGAAACTTTATTGTTCAACGAATCAAGCAACAACGTACTCAAATCTTCGTGCTATCATCGCTAGCATCGGAAAGATTATCAATCTCGATGTCCGATACGTCGTCGATTAATTGTGGTTCAACAATATTTTCTACAAAATTATCTGCTGTTTTGTACATCATTTCAACATTTTCAGCATGGCGAATGGCATCTTGTGCAGCGTTGTCATCAAAACCGCCGATAAATTCGGCGGCTAATTCATAAACGCTGCTCTTTGTAAAGTTGGTATTGTTTTTGCGAATATAATCTTTTAATACAGCCCAGGCGAGTTTAATGGGATTTAATGAACAATGTCGCACTGGGAGCCGCACGATTTGTATGTCGAATTCTTGTGCAACTTCATCACTCTAATGAATATAGATTGAAAACATGTAAATATTATGAAACAGCTTATACCTTATATTTTTTTCCGGGCTTATTTTCCGAAGCAATCTCTAACAATTCTGATTTCTTTAACGTTGGATCAAATTCGATGTCGTGATTTTGCAACCATTCGATTATCTGATTTTTCCGCATCGATGTCTTTGCAGGCTTAGTACTTTCCGTAAGCTCTGAATGCCATGTGGCATTGTCGATGACTATGGCGATTCGTCGGCTGGGGCCTTCAACCAAAAGTAAAACTTAAGAAATTCTTCTTGAAAAAGACTTTACCGTTGTCTTCTCGTAGACGAAAAGCTGCCTTTTTAATCCATTCACTAAAGTATGGTGACGTCATCGAATGATCTTTTGAACAATCAACGATATCGACAGAATGCAGATGAAAACCACTCTTATCAATCATAGCGGATATTCCCAATCGAGTACCTATATTAAATATGTATGCATGCATAAATGTTTTCTCGGGAAGAATAATTAGTGTGATACCTTTTCCATCTGCTTTTCTAAGTCTTCCTTTGCCAGAATCATCAATCCATATTGATCTTTTCTCGTAGTTAATATTAACCCAAGTTTCATCATGAAACAAAATTAAGGCATCAGCTTTTCGTAATTCATTAATTTTGCGAAAATAACAAGCTCGTTGAGCAACGAAAGAGTTGTCATCAAGTACTACCTTTACTTTGCTTGTCCTTTGATAGGTAAAGTCTGATCGATGTATATGTCGCCAAAGAGCTGTTTCTGAACGAACTGGAAAATCTTTGTGAGCTGAGAGAAGACGTTCAAGAAGAATAGCAATGGTAGGATAGATCTTTTCAGTCAGCAACAGATGAAACTGGAATCGAATCTCATCATCATCAGCTTCTTCCGATAATTGAATCGATGGACGTCCTGGAATTTTACGAGGAACCCTTGGTTAAATCGTATTCATTGCATAAGCTGTAGACCAGGTTAGAATATTCTGCTTTTCATGTGAAATATTTGTCGACTGAATTTGTGATGCTGATCTTCTTCTTGTTTCACCTGCGCATCTCGAGACTCACGTATCGTTTTCATTTC